TCCTCGGGTCTGAGACACAAAGGCTTTCTCTATGGGTGTGCGAAGAACGGACTTAGGGAGGAAGGTAGAGAAGGGGAAGGAGGAATGGCCACATACTTCAAATACGCAGGACCTATAGTCACCTCCTCCTCACCAGCCTGGCCACAGAATCCAAGATGCAAAAGGCCATTCGATGGAGAGGCTCTCTCCCTCCACGCCTATCCTAAGCCACACAGAGGCAGCCACTGAGAGTAGGGGCTTATATATCTTTCTAGAAATATTTGCTGCATGTATAAACAGACATTTCTCCCTCTCCTTGTTTTCACACACATGGGAATGTGCTGCACACGCTCTACTGCATGCTGCCACATGCCCTCCTTTTTTTTTTTTCTTTTTAAAGTTTCACTCTTGTTGCCCAGGCTGGAGTGCCATGGCATGATCTTGGCTCACTGAAACTTCTGCCTCCCAGGTTCAAGCAATTCTCCTGCCTCAGCCTCCTGAGTAGCTGGGATTACAGGTGCATACCACCATGCCTGACTAAATTTTTGTATTTTTAGTAGAAACAGGGTTTCACCATGTTGGCCAGGCTGGTCTCAAACTTCTGACCTCAGGTGATCCGCCTGCCTTGGCTTCCCAAAGTGCTGGGATTAGAGGCGTGAGCCACTGCACCCAGCCATGCCCTGCATCGTTACTTAACCTTTGACTCTCACTGCGTGTCAGTCCCTGAAGAGGTTGCCTCATTCTTCCTCACGTCTGTGCCTGGAAATAGCATTACTTGTTTAACCAGTCTCCTCTTTGAGGATATTTACGTCATATCTGACCTCCTATTCTTACAAACTTCTGCGACGCCTATCCTTGTGCACAATGTAAACCCAGGCCAGAACATCTGCCAAGTAATTCCTAGAAATGGAATGGCAAGGCTGGTTGTGGTGGCTCACACCTATAATCCCGGTGCTTTTAGAGGCCTGGGTGGGAGGATTGTTTGAGGCCAGGGGTTCAAGACCCTGGGCAACATAGCAAGACTTCGTCTCCACAAAAAAATTTAAAAATTAGTCAGGCATGGTAGCACAAGCCTGTGGTCCTAGCTACTCAGGAGGTGACGTGGGAGGATTGCTTCAGCCCAGGAGTTTGAGGAGTGAGCTATGATTATACCACTGCACTCCAGCCTGGGTGACAGAGCAAGACCCTGTCTCTAAAAAAAGGAAAAAAGAAATGGAATGGCTGGATCTCAGAGGGCAGGGTCATCCGCCATACTGGTAAATATGGAGGTTGTACTTAATTTGTATTCCCTGCTGCAATTAATATTGGATTTTAATACAGACAGAAGAGAGCTGTGAGTTTGCAGCAGAAAATAGAGACAGAATGGCAAGGGGAGAGAGCCCTGGATTTGGCGTCAGGGAACTGCAATGCCGTTTTGGTAACAACAGTGATAATGAGAACAGCAACCACGACTGTAAGGGAGCTCCCGCACACCATGAGCCCAATATGAAAAGAATTACCTCCATGTAACAGTGGCTCTAAGAGTATGAGTACTTTGCCCACAGTCACACAGCTTAATGACAGAATCAGAATTAAGGACACACATCAAGGACTGTCTGGCTGCAAAGTCCTAGCCCTTATAACCTCCAAGCCCCACTGCTGCCCCGCCTTGGGCAGTCAGTGGCTAGTCTCCCAACTTCTCAGGGTAAATCTGGCAGTGGACGGACCTCCTCAATTCACCTGCTTTACTTCTAGGCACGAGTGTAGAGTGGGGAGAGCCGATGTGGCTGCAGCGGCAGGAGAGCACTGCAGACATAATGCCTCTCTACCTTAGGGAAGCTGGCGATGACACGGTCGCGGCTCACGGGCGGCCCCAAAGGTGTAAGGGAGGACTTCATTCTTCCAGAGTCCTGTGGACCCAACCAGGAGAAAGAGAGTTAAGGAGCTGTGCAAATGCCTGGGGACTCACCCATGAGTTTCCACCTAACTTTTCATCGGATGCAGTCTGGGTGCAGTGGCTCATGCCTGTAATCCCAGCACTTTGGGAGGCCAAGGTGGGAGGATCACTTGGGCCCAAAAGTTTGAGACTAGCCTGGGCAACAAAGTGAAATCTCCGTTTCTAAAAAAAAAAAAAAAAGAGCATGGTGGCCTGTGCCTGCAGTCCTAGCTACTTGGGAGGAAGCTGAGAGGAATGCTTGAGCCTGGGAGGTCAAGGCTGCAGCGAACCATGAAGTTGCCTCTGCACTCCAGCCTGGGTGATAGAGTAAGACCTTGTCTCAAGAATAATAAATAAAATCAGATCCCTCTGAGATCCAGCCATTCCATTTCTTTTTTCCTTTTTTTAGAGACAGGGTCTTGCTCTGTCACCCAGGCTGGAGCAGAGGCCATTTCTCTCAATCTGCATATAGCAGGCAGCATGGTATGGGGGAACCAGGCCTGCCCCACCCTGCCTGGGAGTCAGGAGACCTGGGTCCCCCCTTGACAGGTGTCTACCAAGGAGGAGTCCCCCCTCTGAGCTTACCTTACTGGGCTGTGAGGCATCGCACAGCTCAGGCAGTGGAAGTAGAGTGGGGAGGGGTCTCCTACTCCTAGTCTGCAAAGGATGAAGGCTCTAGGTGGACCTGGGGGCCTTAAGTTTCGGCCAACTAGGCCTTTTCCCTGAAAGCCCTCACCTTACCAGGCCTCTGACTCCTCGAGCCTCCTCAACAGCCCTCTGTCTCCTTTTTCTGTCTGGGTCCCTCTCCCGGCTGGGGTGGCCTTGGTGGAGTCCAGCTATCCTCCCGCATCTGACCCGGCTCTTCTCCCTGACCAGCGTGGGCCTGACCCAGTGTGCGCTCAGGAAATGAGGACGCTCCGGGGCCGCAGGCCGCTTTCAAGTTATAGGGGTGGGAAGTGGGCGCGGACGCGGTGCCCTTGTGGCCCTGGCCTCCCGGATGTGCCAGTACGGGGGTGGGCAGCCGGGAGGGCGGGACAGAGTAGGCGAGCGGACTCACGGATGGTGGCTGCGAAGGCTGGGGCTCCGCGCGGCCTGGTCCACCTGAGCCAGCGGCGGCAATCACCATGGCAACGAGAGCCACGCGGGACCGGCGGGCTACACAAATCGCAGACGTCGGGGGCGGGGTCTGCGTTTGACTGGCAGCAGCGCGTCCAAGCATCCGGCTTGCGCCGGCGATCACCATAGCAACGAGAGCCTGCCCGGAGTCTGGGCGGGGCCGGCAGCGGAGAGACTCTCGAACACCCTGGAGCGCCGGAGATCACCAAGACAACAATGGCGGTGCTGGATAGGCGGGCGGTAGGCGGGGCCACGGAGGCCCAGGGTCGAAGCCTGGGCTGTGGGTGGGGCTGACCATGGAGAGACTGCCTTCGCTTCTGGCGATCACCTCGGCTGGGAGAGGTGGTGCAGTCATGGCAGAACTCCTGATGTAGTACTGATGTTCAATTGGAATCAAGCACCATTGATGGACGTACCTACCGTCTACTGACCCTAGTCTGCGTAATTCTGAATCCATTGTTGTCTGAATATCATATGCCTGGCTTCTAGAGATCACAGTACAAAATTAATTTCCTTAATAAAAAGCTGCCCTGAGTCAGTGATTTCCTCTGAGCTAGTCTCGGTTTGGAAAGTGAGCTGTTCTGGGCTAGATGGCCTCCCGAGGCCCTTCTAAAACCGTGGAATCAGCTTTGGAGAAGTCCAGAGTTCAGCTTTGAGAACCTACTTAATTCAGCTCCTTAACTTTTCTGCATCACAATGTGGAATCCTTGGTACATAGATTTAAGTCAGTCATCTTCAATTCAAAGCTAAGTGTGCTGGAAGCTGATGTTTGATTTTTTTTTTTTTTTCTTAGGAGATGGAGTCTTCTTGCTTGTTGCCCAGGCTGGACTCGAACTCCAGGGCTCAAGGAATCCTCCCTCCTCAGCCTCCCCAGTCCTTGGGACTACAGGCGAGGGCCTCCACACCTGGCTTTGTTTAATGTCATTTAGTGAGTTTCTTTCTTTTTTTTTTTTTTGAGACGGAGTTTCGCTCTTGTT